GCCGCTGCTGGCTGGGGTCGGCGGCGTTCCGTGCGAGTGCACTGCGGCGTCGTTCGGGTAGCGATCCGATGCCACCCCTTCTGGTGGGCCGACGACGCACGCACGCACGCACGCACGTACGCGGCCAGCCCCGTCTGCAGCCGCGAGATCGACGAGCAACGCCTGACAACGCAGCGTTCCCAGCCTGCCTAGCCTAGCAGGCAGGCTTGCTCTCAGCGGCCTTGCTTCTGGCCGTAGGCTGGGTCGTATGTCTGGCTGTCTACCTGCTCTGATGCTCGCTGTTTGCTGCTGTTTGCTGCCCGATCAAGCGCAGATCGAAACGGGCGATCGTCTCTGCCTGGCAGGCCAACGAGAGCGCTCACGATACGGCCAGGCTGAGCTGAGGGACGTGGGCGGGGGCAAGCCCAGCAGGCCAGGCCATCGGCAGGCCCGGCGGGGGGTCGAGCACAGCCTCGTCGGTCGTTTGGGCTGGACCTGCTTGGCCGGCCCTAGCCCAGCCTGCTTCTCATCAGCCTGCGAGCGAGCCGGCCGGCCAGGCCAGCCGTGCGCCCGCCTCCGCCGCAGGAACGCGGTGCCATCTCCATCGTTCGCTCGCTCGCTCGCCGGCTCTCTCTCAGCCTGGCTGGCGGAGGCTTTCTCCTCTCCCTCGTGGCGGCACCGCGGCATCAGACGGTCGAAGGGGACGACATGAGGCAGCAAGCAAGCAAGGCGGCGTGACGGGCACCGGCTGGTACAGTACCCTCTCACGCAGGATGGCGTCGAGCTGTGTGGGAGGCAAGCAGGCAGGCCTGCCCCGGCAAACTCGCTGGTCGCCAACCGGCAGACACGCGACGAGGCAGGGGAAACTAGACGACGCCGGCGGACAGCAGAAGGCAGGCCGGAGCGAGTGGCCAGGCAGGCGAAGTCAGGCCAGGTCGAATAGGCAGGGCCAACGGCGGCGCAGGCTTCCCGGCGACTCACCCGCAAAGAACGCCAGCAAGCAAGGCCAGGCCAGGCCAGCCTGGGGTGCGCCGTGTGTGAGGGCGAGCGAGGTGATGAAGGCGAGGTAGGCCAGGATGAGATCACACAGCAGCGCTACAGCAGCGCAGGCTTGCCTGACTGCCCGCCTGCCTGACTGCCTGCCTGCCTGCCTGCTTGCCTTGCTTGCTTGCTTCTGTCTTCCACCGGCCATGCCCTCGTCAGACGGAACAGACCCATGGCTGCGCGCGAGAGTTCCGCACGCCGAGCGAGGTCTTCCACAGGCCAGCGGGCAACCCTGGGCTGACGTTTGGTTGTGGGTTTTCAAATTTCAGGGCGCACGGGCAGGGCCGAACCTGCCTTAGCTTGCCTCGCCTTAGCTTGGCTGTTGGCTGGCTGGCCATTTCAATCGACGAGCGAGCGTCTGCGGGTCCGTCGAAAAAACTCGAATTGGGCCCAGCCAGGGCAGTTTGAAGTGCGTGGATTCAAGATTGGGTTGGGTTGGGGGGGGCTGCGCGGGGATTTCAAAAAGAGCGGGCGCTGGGTTTCCAGTTCAGTTTTTGTGGTGCGAGGCGGGCAGGCTCGACGAGGGAGAGAGAGAGGAGAGAGGGCCCGCCCAGCCGCGGCGCCTGGTGGTCGGTCAGACCCCTGTCTTGCGCTGCGGGCGGCGAGTGGGTTGGGTCCGGCTGGGCTCTCAGCTGGGCGACGGCGGTGCGGTGTGTGATGAGGGGGCGGCCAGCTCAGCCGAGACGCGGCCAGGCCAGGCTGGGGCCAGGCTACCTAGGCTAGGCTGGACTGGGCTGGGCTGGGCGAGGCAGGGGGCGCGGGCAGACGGGGCGGGCTGCGCTGCCTGCCTGCCAGCCTGCCTGCCTGCCAGCCCCCTGGTCTCTTCCTCCTGTCTGCCGGCCACGCTTGCTTGCTCGCTCGCTCACTCGACCTGTCTGGCTGCCCTGCCTCTGCCTGCCTGCCTGCCTCGCCCGCCGCCAGCACCCTCTCCACTCCGCTACCTCACACCATCCTCACATCATCTCACGCAGCTGATATCGACCAACATCTTTTTGAGCCTCCCTCCTCCTCCTCCTCCTCACCACCACCACCACCTCCACTGTCCTCGTCCCACAGGTACCCCGCCACCGTACCCTTCTCGCCCAGATCGACGCTTCAGACTCGCCAGCACCACCCAGCGACCCAGCCCATCGCAGCCACGCCCTTACGTCCACCGAGGCAACCCCCTCCATCGCTCGCCGCATCCCGCCCTCTCTCGCCGCCGTCTTCTCTTTCGGCAGCGGCACACCCCGGCTCGACGACCAAAGGCACTCAGCCCGAGCTTGTTCACCCACGACCTCGCAGTCCATCGCACCTCCGCACCCAGCTCGGTCCTTTTCCCGTTTCGTCCGGCTCCAAACCCGCTCCCTTAGCCTCCCCGCATCCCTACATTTAGGTGAGTGCAACTTCTAGGATCTAGAGATGGGCATCTCGACAGCACCGGTTGCGGTCGCAAGGCTGCCGGCCTGGCCAGGCCAGATCGCGATGGTCAATCCAGGCCCGGCCCGGTGGCACAATTCGCTGGCGCTGACCCCGGCCAACCTCGACTGACACTTCCTGTCGCCGTCCACCCTTGCCACCTCGCGATCAGATCAGCATGTCTGAGCTCCGCCGCAAGCTTGTCATCGTCGGTGACGGTGCCTGCGGTAAGACCTGTCTCCTTATCGTCTTCAGCAAGGTGAGTGGCTGCTATTCGTGGCCCGACCTCCCCTGTGCCTCTGCCTTACTGTCGTGCGGGATCAGCGCTTGATGGGTACCGCGCTGCTGTCGTTCGCCGCTCTCGGCATCGCCCTCGGCATCGCCCGGATCTGGGCGGCTTTGCTTGCCAGGTGTCTGTCGCGGCGGAGCGACACCTCGCGTGCATTTGGCATACAACCCGGAGTCTGCATCAACCCTCCTGGTTGCGGCTCCTCTCTATCGCCTGCCAGCGTCCTGGCCTCATGCTTCGCTCGGCCTGGACAGGGGACTACGACGTGGTGCCAGCTATTACTCTGCTAGCGATCGGGCATCATTGAAGCTGACGCCCTCGCCGCCCTCCCCACCCTGCTCTGCCTGACACCCTGCCCCCACTTTTCGCCTTCCGCTTTCCGCCTTTCGCCGTGACAGGGTACCTTCCCCGAGGTGAGTCCGCGAGCAAGCCCTCGACGACCCTGCCCCGCCCTGCTCTCGTGTGTCCCGTGCCGACTGCTGACGCCCCGGGCTCGCCGCTCGATCTCGTCTCTGCGACTATGCTCGCCACTCCGCCTTGCTTCACGTTTTCTCAGGTCTACGTCCCCACCGTCTTTGAGAACTACGTCGCCGACGTCGAGGTCGACGGCCGCCACGTTGAGCTGGCGCTCTGGGATACCGCCGGCCAGGAGGACTACGACCGACTGCGACCGCTGTCGTACCCGGACAGCCACGTCATCCTCATCTGCTTTGCCGTCGACTCGCCCGACTCGCTGGACAACGTGCAGGAGAAGTGGATCTCGGAGGTGCTGCACTTCTGCCAAAATCTGCCCATCATCCTGGTGGGCTGCAAGAAGGACCTCCGACGCGACCCCAAGATTATCGAGGAGCTGAGGAAGACGAGCCAGCGGCCCGTCAGCCCCGAGGAGGGCATGGCGGTGGCGCAAAAGATTGGCGCGGTGCGCTACCTCGAGTGCAGCGCCAAGACGGGCGAGGGCGTTCGGGAAGTGTTTGAGCACGCCACCCGCGCGGCATTGGTCCAGAGGAGCAGGGGCTCCAAGAGGAAGGGCTGCACCGTCCTCTAAATCGCGACGAGGCGGACGGCGGCCTCGCTCCGCCACGCGGCATTCGTACAAGGCGGGCGCACCCAACGACGGCGGAGGCGTCGGTCGACTCGACGCTCACGCCCTTGACGAGACGAGCCGCATCAGCCCAGCTGCGGCCCTCGGTGAACACCAGCGTCGATCCGGCGACGATCAAGGAAGAAGCCCCGGCGACGACGGCGCGCGCGAGCCCAGACCTAGGATTGCCGTGGAGTCGCTCCTCGTGAGAGTGGCCGCCACCTGGCGGCAGACGTGCTACCCACACGAGACCTTGGAGACGATGCCGCCGGCGTGCAAGGTCGAAGAGCCGATGGACCGTCGGACAATTTTGGCCGTTGCAGCACAATGGCGTGATTCCCCCGAGCCCCAGTCGCCCCGGCGCATCACCTCGGCCGCCGATCCAGCGTCTCTCATTCCTCCCAAGTCTAGTCATCGTCCTCGTCCCCGTCCCTTTTCCTCCCTCGTCGTTTCCCCCCCTTTTTTCCCTGTGACGATGGTTCATGTTGTCGATATCCCCCTCCTCAGTCTCCTGATCTGAAGCCGCATTCCATTGACGACGACGACGACGACGAGAGCGTAAGCGGGCGAGGACGACGACATCCGTTGCATTGCTGATAGTGGTGAGGTTGGTGCGTCAAGGACGGCAACGGGCCGGCGGGGTCAATCAAGGCCGAGAGTGGGCGCGTGGTCCAGCGGAGAGGATGCAGCTGGGGATGGCCCACACCCAGCCGATTCGAGTTGGTCAGAGGGGCGTGGCACTCTGGTGACTGTGAGCCAGGATGGCCCGGACCCGCCCGATGCGGCGCGGAGCCCAGAGGCGAGGCGAGGCGAGGCGAGGGTGTCAAGGTCAGTGGGCCGGCGGCCATTGGGCTCCGGGGGCCCAACTGGGCAGCTGAGACCGGGTCGAGGTCGCCCTCGCGCTAGGCTGTCCTTTGGGGATTTGACGACCCACCTTCTGGAGACCATGCTTCCGACGACTTCCTTGCTTGCTCGCTTGCTCGCCTACCTGCCCGCCTAAGTTACCTGCCTGATCGCCTGCCTGCCTTGATTCGGCCGCCCTCGTTTGCCACCTCTTCTTCCCCCACTCGACGCAGTCTGCATCCGAAGCCAGGCCCAAGGTCAAAGCAAAGCAAAGCAAAGCCAAGCAAGGATGATGGCCTGCAAGCGTGCAACGTACGACGCGAGCTGGTCCGAACCCCCACCGCACCCCACCCACCTACCGCGCTGCGCTGCTTCCAGCCGGGATGAGATGGAGCGAGGCTGGACCTCAGCGATGCAGGGCGGGGCGTAGATCCCGACGTGCCCTCCTCTTCTCAGCGGGCTTGGATTCCGGAGGTATAAAAGACGACGACGGTCCCAGACGCACACGCCTTGTTCCTTCCTCGGCCGCCATCTACCCCCTTTGCCGTCCACCTACTACTGCTTCTAAACCCCATCCATCCCGATCCCGTCCTCGATAGTATCTGCGCCATGAAGCTCGTCTCGCTCCTCGTCCTCCTGCCCCTACTCGCAGGCAGCGTGAGCGGTAGCACGCGTCTGGAGCGTTCGGTTCGATCCACGCCTCCCTCGTCGTCGTCGGCCGCCGCCAGACCGTCGAGCGGGGGGGACGCAGCGGCGCTCCTGACGGCGGCGCGCAACAAGCTCGAGGAGACCGAAGACGCCCTACTCCACAGCCTCATTGCGCGCGGCAAGCTGGCCGGCGTGCACGGCGGCAGCGGCGTGTCGGACTGGCACGGGTGCGCCGACGTCTTCAAGTCGCTGCCCGCCATGCCGCGCGACAATACCACGTTGCCGCACCAATGGAAGGGACACGCCAACCAGCCGGACTTTCTCCTCGCCCACGTCCCATCCTCGACCGCCACCACCGCCGACGACGACGCCGGTGGTGCCTCGTCGTCATCGACGATCGATCGATTCTTCTACGCCAACATCGCAGGTGCCCTCTCGGGGTCGCCCACGACTGCGGCGGGTGCGGCGGCGAAGGCAGGAGGGGCAGTGGCAGAGGCAGGAGCAGGGGCGACGCGCGCCGAGATGCTGGCGTCGTCGTTGAGCCTGCAGCTCATCTCGGACCGTATCCACATCGGCGAGGACGTGGCGCGCGCCAAGTTGGCCCAGGACCGGCAGACGCTCTGCCCGCTCATCGCCGCTCGGGACAGCCAGGGCCTGGTGAAAGCCGTGACGAATACGACGCAGGAGCAGGCCGTCCTCGATCGTGTGCTGCGCAAGGTCTCTATCTGGTCCGCCCGTCCCGCCCCCGCCCCCGCCCCCGCCGCCGGCGCTGGTACTGCCAATACCGCTCCTGCCACCACCAGCACTACCTCCGCCGCCACCTCGGACCCTGACGCGGCCCGGATCGAGACGTTTGCAAACAACGTACAGCAATTGTTCAAGCAGTGAGTCGTCGGCGCGCCGAGTCGTTGCGCCCTGGTGCGATGCGGTGCGGTGCGGTGCGGGAAAGACGGACTCACATTTGAATGGGACCCCCTCGCCCCCCCATCGCTCCATGGGGAGACAACAGGTTCCTGATCCCGCTCACGACGCAGCTCGAAGTCGTCTACCTCCTCAGCATCAAGTGCGACTAGTCCGTTCCGCCCCTGCCCTAGCACCAGCATGCCGCTAGCCGGCTATCCTCACCACGCCCTCTACGTCGAGCAAGGCGCGCGCGTCGGGGAAAATCATACCGAGAAATCGAGGGGAAATAGAGGGGGCTGGTTTGCCACGACGAGCCACCTGCTCGGATTCAGCGAGATGCTTGTTCCTCTTTCGCATCGCTCCGAGGCATCCGAATGACCAGATCAGACCAGACCAGTTCAGACCAGACCAGTTCAGACCAGATCAGACCAGACCAGACCAGGTCAGGCCAGGTCAGACTGTCAAAGAGCAGCAAGGTAGCAGAGTCACGTCTCCCCCTCCCCATCCCATGCCCACGCTTCTACCCCATTCTACAGTAGATGCCTTGTACAGCTCACGTGCGAAAACACATCCGCGTCCTAAACCCACCGACCGACCTTTGATCCCCCTGCGTCCCAAGGAAGAGGGGAGAAGAAGAGTCAGACTATGAGTCTAGCCCGTCAAGGCCAGGCCGGCCCGGTCCGGATTGGCTCGAACGACAGACGACCACAGGTTGTCCCCTCGTCTCGTCTCGTCTCGTCCTGAGCTGACCTGAGCTGGTCTGAGCTGGTGTCGCGACCCAGTTTGGGCCATGCGCTGCTCAACGACGAACGACGACGAAACCACCATGGTCACGGATCACCTGGCAGCCGTCGAGACCCGTTCAGCTATCCACATGACCGACGCACCGACGCACCGACGCACCGACGCACCGACGCACCGACGCACCGACGAAAAGGGACGACCAACGCAACGTAGATGATTGATTGGGATGACGGACTGGGGGTGTCGTAAGAGTACAGGCTTGTGTATAATACCCCTTTGCGACCATGCGACCGTGCGAGCGAGCGAGCGAGCAACGAATAGAGACCGAGAGAGACCGAGAGAGAGAGAGAAGAGAGAGAGAGAGAGAGAGAGAGAGAGAGAGAGAGAGAGAGAGAGAGAGAGAGAGAGAGAGAGAGAGAGAGAGAGAGAGAGAGAGAGAGAGAGAGAGGAGGAGAGAGAGAGAGAGAGAGAGAGAGAGAGAGAGAGAGAGAGAGAGAGAGAGAGACGAGAGAGAGTGACGTGTAGGTAGTACGGTACGTAGTGTGTGT